AAAAGAACGGCGGGCAGGGGGGGGGGGGGGGGGCGCTTTCACTCTGTAGACCTGGATAACGCTCACACCGGCACGGAGCGGGGGAGGGCGGGGGGCCATCGTGCAAACTCCACGCGGGAAAGCAGAAGAGTCACGCGAGCAAAATCAGAGCCTGCCTAGCGACGGGCGCTAGCGGGAGAATTCGACGGCACTTCTGTTCCTCTCAGACCCGCGAGCTCGGCCCGTTTGGGTTCTCGCGAGACTCACCGGTGGCCCACAACGGAAGAACCAAATCTGCATGTTTCGCGTGCGCGCGGTTGTGCGACTTGTTGACAATTCACTGCGAGGTCTGCCCGGCTGTCAGTCAAGCCGCCCTTCATGTTCTTCTCGAGACAAAACGAGTTTGAGTGAATCAACAGCACCTCCGGCGGCTGATTGCGTGCCCTACATTTTGGGGCAATCGATCTTCCTTTGGCTTCGATAAATCGACAGTCACGACACATACGTGAGAATCCTTTTCCGTCGCAACGTCATATTCATGACATGAGGTCGATGCGACGCTAATAAAAACGCAAAGCGGTCACAGGCTTCACACACCGCAAAAAGACGACGCGCATGCAAAGAGCAAAACATGTTTGCCACATGATTCTGTTACAGTGAAACTCCTCTACAACGAAACCCACATGGGCGAAAATACCCCCTTGTGGAACAAAATGTTCATGCATGAAAGCCATTCCGACTTTTCTGCTCTCCCTACGGCGAAAAGTCCCCCTGTTCCGTTATACGAAATCTTTTTCTCTGCTCTTGCCTCGCGACGAGATTCACTCCAACGAAAACAAACCTTCCGCAAAAGTCTTCATCCAACCTCAGCACGCCACAGCGACCTCTACTGCTTCGTTCGGAAACGGCAACAGCCACCGCCACACTGGTTTAAACATGCGCAGTAGTCCAGGAAGTATTTGTTTCAGACGCAGCAGCACGAACGTTACATTGCTAAAATGGCGACAAAACGGACCTTTGCAGACCAAGGAGTGAAGAAAAGAAAAGCATTCACGCTTGAAGACAGGATAAAAGTCATAAAAATGAAAGATGGAGGAAGCAAATGAAAAGACATTCTGCAAGAAATTGATGGAAGTGAAAGTAAATGCTGATCGTAAATTTCGCAATTCCTTTCCCTTTTTGTCTTTCTACGCTGCTATATAAAGTGCCAAACAAGTGTATGCTCATACTTATACACTATTGGAATAAAAATAAAAAGTACACCTATACGTTTTTTTGTGTTTGTTCGTGTTTACGTCTGAGATAAATTTTGCGACAGTGAAAAGTCCCCCGTTGTGAAAAATGTCTTGCTGCAAACATGATTTCGTTGTAGAGGAGTTTCACGGTATATAAAGCTAACTAGACTCCAAAAGACTGAAAGCTTTTCATATCAGCTGAGATGTGAGGATGACAGGAGTGGACGCGGCGCGCTTGGCAACGTCTGACGAGTCATACGATGATGAAAAGGACAAAACATACTTTCATCTGCGACGAGGCACCGTGTCAGCCTCCTTTGATGAAAGCCAAATTGCTGCTGGTCATGCCCATAAAAACGTTGGCTTCAAGGGACCCTTTCGGCATCATGACAAGGGAGACGACAATTTCACGGACATGAAAACAGAATTCAGGCGACGTCCTCAAAATTACTTATTTGCTCAAATGATTTGTTGTGGGTGGTAAAACCATTTTTTTTTTTTGGGGGGGGTGGGGGTCATTTCAACATTCATTACACACACTAGTTAGATATTTCTATAGTACGTCCCCCTCCCTTTTTTTTTTTTAATGAATGAAACACATTTTAAGAGACTGAACACGAAACTGGTGTGTGCAAATGTTTGGCCACTGACAATCTGACCTCAACACTCGTTGATTATTTTGCGACGTTTTCATGCTGACGAGCGATTCCGATGAGGACGCCAGATTTCGTCACGACGCGGACCCGACCGTCGCACGATTGACAAGACTCAGGAAACGATGCGGTGACAAAATCGCTTGTGTCATTCGTTCACAGTGACCAGGTCATTTTCATGGGACGCCTCCCAGACCAGTCACAAAAGGGGAGGGTGGGGAGTACATACTGTGTATTCCCGCTGTTATTTTGGTCAAAGAACTAACTTTACAGAAGTACTTGCGCGAGACCACGCGGCCCCCCAACCACTGGTCGGCGGACCAGTACCGGGCCACACGGCGACAGACCTGCGAGCCGTGAGCAAATTGACTCCGTCCGACGTGGCGGAGGAAACGCGCGCGACTCTCGCCCATCGGTGTCCCTCTCCTACGGTTGGCTAGCTAAACAGCTAGCTAAACGGGAGGCCGACGGGCGGCCACGACTTCCGAAGACGAAGTATTTTGGACAAAAGAAGCGACGACGAGGAGGAAGCCGTCGTGCGAGCCGTGTCGCCCGAAACGAGGCGGGACGAGGATCCCGGTGAATCATTTCGACAAGTAGCTGATTGTCGCACGCGTTCACTCGCTCATGAAACAAACACTCGGCGTCAGCGACTTTTGCTGCCGCACTCCAAGTCTTATCCGCGCTGCGTCCTCTAAAATTTCCGTTTCACCAAAACAATCGCCGGCACGCTCTGTCAGAGGGTCCCCCCCCGCAACATTTTTTTTCACAATCTGTGAACGTGTTGCAACGGTTCTGGTATGTGGGCCACTTTGAGTCCTTGTCCTCCATTGTGCCACGCCACGTGCTTTATCTTCTGTGCACTGTAAACAAGTCCGCTATGAGCCTATAACAGAGCCTAATAAGGAAACATGGATGCAGTTTTTTTTCTCCCCCGGCCCCCCCCAGTCTGTTTTGACGCCACTCGATGCTTCGAGAGGGAGTCCGCATTGGCCGGCGTGCGACAATCAATGACCGACGAAGAGGGTCCTTGACAGGCTTTGTGCCGGTGATCAGGAATCGGCCAACGACAAGTAGCGTCCCGCTGTCACGCACGCGGGGCCCCTCTGAGCTGTGCATGACAACGGGATCCGGGGCATTTTGGTCCACGTCATGCTCCGCGAACTACATTTGTTATGTAACGTTTTCGCAGTCACTGTCGCAACGATTTGGAGAGAGATAGCTTCACATTCATGGATGATTCGTTGAGAGGAAAAATCAAAATGGAATTAAAAAAAAAATGCAACGGTGATTTAAATGTCATTGAAAGGGGAAATTAAACGACAGTCACGGGGGGAAAATGATTCCCTCAATTTCTTGTTGATTTTCATGTCTGATACCACTGACGGTGTACCTATCAACTAACAACAAAAAAAAACAAACAAACCTCGGAATGCCTAAAAGTGCCGGTTTTGGCAGAGCAATGCCATAGCGCAGAGGTGTCAAACTCATTTTTGGTGCGGGCCACATTTTAGTGACCGTTTGACTTGGAGGGCCGTTGTGACTGAAACCATAGAAAGAAGTCAAGAGCAACTGTTGATTCAAGTATTGTTGAAGTTACGGGGTTTTGGTAACAAGAAAATGCTTTGAATATATCTCTTATTGATTACATGTGAGAATTCAAAATTGCAGTCGACATTTTAGAAAGGTATCATGGAAGTCGACGTGTTTGAGCTGCTTTCGCGGGCCACATAAAATGACGTGGCGGGCCAGATCTGGCCCCCGGGCCTTGAGTTTGACACCTGTGCCATAGCGGGTGATGTCAAGAGATTTGGAAGAAAATGTCTCCGTATCGGCTCTTCTTACAAGAAAGGAATTCTCGTGAGCTCATTTTTTTTGGGTAATTCTCATTGAAGCAGGCTGGAGCGGCCATGTGAAAGAAACAAGGCTGCGCCAACG